CAGTAGGGCACTTTCAGCTAGTAAATGTTCCTGGAACTTCAAAAAGCGCCTTTTCTTATGCTCTTGCACTGTAAACTAGAACTTCACTTCAGAGAGCACAGTCCTTACCTACACTACAAACCCTACCCTTCCAGTGGATAACAGCTGATGTCCCCCCCCCCAAGGTCCCGTATTTGATGGACAAATCATCACCAACTCTGTCGTAGTGTCGGAACGGCACATTTGCGTCGAACGATGAATCAGACTGTGGAGCTATTCTGAACACGACATTTTCACCTTCGTTGCTTTTGCGTGCTGAGTCCGTCCGCCAGCGGTCGTCGTCGTGGGCGGCGGCGGCTATTCGTTTGTTTGAGCAAGGAGCGGTCTGAATACGATCCACAAACTCGTCACAAATGCATGCATTCACCTTCACTATACTCTATCTTCTAGCTGAGCTAAGTGATTCGTATCCAGATGACGTCGTCTGCTATCGGAATTGGTACTTGGACAATCCACGACCAGCACCAAGGTAACTTGAGAGCGCGGTTCAGTTTGAAATTGTAGAGCACTAGACAACATTTTGAGCACTGAGTACTTTACTGGTGCTAATTAACCTGAGAGTGACGGTAACTTGCCAACAGAGTACGGCTTTTGGACAAAAAATTTTGAACAAACTAAAAAAAAACCAAAAACAATTGTCCACATCGGCGTCACTTCAACCGAACCATAGTAGGAAACCTACCGGTTAAATTTCCTCAACTTTCTCTAGCGAGATCTACAACTGCAGAAGCAATCCTGCTAGCAATAAGGTGGGCTAATCTTGGGCGGAACTTGGTGGTGTAGTGGCAAGTGGGACGCTTACCACGCGAGCGGTCCGGGGATCAAATCCTGGGTCGTGAGTCGCCCGGGCCAACCAAGCCTTCCATCCCTCCGGGGTCGGTTAATTGGTACCAGACTTGTCTGGGAGGATAAAAACACTGACTTGTACATCGGCTGGCCCCCGCAAGTCATTGTATAGGCCACATCGCATTCAAATGCCACTACGAATGTACAAATGGAAGACCCCGAAGTAGAATGCATGTCGCATCCCAAAAGGAATTCATTAACGGTAAATTTTCAATTTTTAATCCTTCGTCACACTGCTATGCATTTCCATCTTTATTGTCTCATCTATAATAGTTTTGATATTTCAAAAATACACTGGATACTCGTTAGGTTCCTTCCTCTACCTGGCCCATTCAGCCCTTGCCACCATGATTTTGAGCCCCAGGAATGAAGATCAGGGGTAACCGTCTATTGTGCCAAAATCAACGAGGGGGTCGCTCAGTCGCTGGTGCTTGTGACTTTTACAGGGAGAATCCTTGGCGTGATAAATGAGCGCTGCTGCCTAAATAAAGCGTTATGTGAAGGATCAAGGAGTTCGCTGAGGATATAGTTACGATCAACTTGGCTGCAAACGCTTACAGTTACCTAACGAAAAATTCTTGCCTCACCCCTGGCGAAGGGTATCGAGGATAATCCAAACTTCAGCTTTTCAATATTAGTTTCCCAAATCCAAATTTTAAAGGTGCATATAACTGCTGGGATAAAAGGTTTGGCCGGAATTTTTCAGGCTCATCGTAATTTGTTGGAGTTTTCCTACCTTCGCCCAAAAACTTCCTCTTTACCTGTCTTTTTGCATGAAAACAACCCCTTCGACGAGCAGGTGAATTCCTCTCCCTTCGATCAAGACTATAAAACACGATCTTCCTAAACAGATGCACCGTTTCACTTTACTTCAGCGCACTCGAAAGCCTCCTCAGCCCTGATGTGCCTCCCATCAGATGAATTTCACTTATCAAGTCGTGGTGGTATTGATGCCCAAAATTATTTGTAATGCATATATGTGCAATGAGGGGCGGAAGTGGTGTAGTGACAAGTGGCGCGCTTACCACGCGAGCGGTCCGGGGATCAAATCCTGGGTCGTGAGTCGCCCGGGCCAACCAAGCCTTCCATCCCTCCGGGGTCGGTTAATTGGTACCAGACTTGTTAAAAACACTGACTTGTACATCGGCTGGCCCCCGCAAGTCATTGTATAGGCCACATCGCATTCAAACGCCACTACGAATGTACAAATGGAAGTAGAATGCGTGCCGCATCCCAAAAAGGGATTGATCAACGGCAAATGCTTTATCCTTTATCCTTTTATATGTGCAATGGGTATATTGATAATTTCAAGTTCATTGTGATCGCTTTTGTCCCGAATTCGCGCGACAGAATTCGATTTGAAGACATTGACGGGAATCATGAGACTCCGCATTTACCCAAAGTGGAATCCCTAGCCACGTTTTTCAGGATAAAAGTGAATGAAAAACTAGCGTCCATTCGGCAAAAACCATAAGTATAGTAAGTAATTTCAGTTGCCTCCACAAACCTGGGCACGTGAACGTGAGCGATTTTCTTTCCGAAAAAAAGCTGACCAGTAGAGTTTACCTAGAGATTTCATCATTATTGAAATTCCTTTTTCTCAGGCGTTGCCCTCCGTCAGACTTTTTCTCGTACTATGAATGCTGTGGCAGTTCCGATGCTTGCTGCCGACGAATACGAGTTGAACTGCTGTGAGTTTAATCATTTCCATCTCTAAATCGTCATCCGGCGCAATCGCAATATACGGAGGCATTGCCGCGGCAACACATTCAAAACCGCGTCAAATACTTATTTTTGTGGACGGCTGAGCTTTAAGAGAGAGGCTCCAAGGCGCTTGAGCAATTCTAAATTTTCCAAAGTTCCTCCCTCCTCCTGGGCTCATCTTAGGCTCAGTCCTAAGGGATGCCCCCGTATATTGCGATAACGCCGGTCATGAAGATAGAGCTTCTTCTTTTTCGTCAATGACGTTCAATGGCGTCATTAAAACCGCCACGCCCTCCAGCCCTCGTCATCATTTCCTGCCTTTTGAAGGCCTAATTCTAGCCACACCTTCCCTTGGGAAAAACAAGCCGGGAGAAAT